GAGCTGCTGTATATTTGAACAACAACAAAAAATTGGTAATTCAAATTCTTTATTTAATGGTTTTATTATTTGTAATCTTTAAAAGGGTTTGATACGCGCGGCATTTTGAGTGCTCCTGCAAGCGATGTTCATGTTCGACTGAAAACAACCTACAAAGCGATTTTTAAAAAAATGCAAGAGAAACTGCTGACAATGAATAAAAGAAATAAAATTCGGTGAAATACTTACAGAGACAACAATTTTCATTTACGAAGACAAGTATTGAGATTAAAGGGTCTCCTGAAAATCCTGAGTCATGTAAGCTTCAGCATATAAACGGCCTTGCAGATTTATGTTATAAGCGGGCTTTCCAGTGTTTGCTATTTTTCGAGATGAACTCGAGGCAAGAAAATCGCCCAAAGCTTTCTTTTTACAAGCAAAATTATAACTAGATATTCCTCGGAACGTTTTCTTTCTATTTGCGGTCAGAAAATGTCTGTACTAAGGCCTTTTAAAGTTCTGTGAGCTTGTCAAACCTGATACTAGGTAAGATCATTGTCTCAAATTATCTTACAAACGTGCATAGCCGGATAAACTACGCTCGACTTCATGAAACCAGAAAAAGAAAAGAAAAGAAAGCAACAACAAACATCAAATAAAATAATTACCCAGGCCTACCAGTCGAGATGCTGCAGCTCCTGAAATTCAGCAAGTAAGGCCAGCTTTTCAACCCTCTTACACATCAAGCGAGGTGAACATGTCACGATGCCATCCGAAATCGGATTTCCAATGACTTTGACAAGCGGCGCATTCCTCAACCAAAAACCTAATAAACAAACCAGACATGAATAACAGAAGAATCTTGAAAGCAGCTGTATTTTATAATTTGCAATGTCCATCCAGTGGAAAGAGGCAGTTAAAAACATAACAAGATGACACAAAACTTCAGTTTCCAGTTGCTGCAAAAAATTTCCCGCATGAACTCACTTCTAGGATGCGGCTCCGGCTCCGCTATAAAATGGTCCGGAGCTTTTAAAGTAATGGCTTTAGACTGTCCCCAATTACACGTACGTCGGAAGATGACCAATATAGGAGTTTGATCTGATATAAAAAATGAGTGACAATTACTGATTTGCATAAAAATTAACACTTACAATGGTAAGGCAGAAATTGTGTAATCCTTTGCTTCGGAAGTGCTAGAACACAAAGGAACAGACCTCCAATTGGCCACTTGTCATGCATCTCAGTCGGTTCAGAGTTAAGGATTCGCCACTGCAACAAATGCTACTTCGCCGGCTACACCTGCCGCCAGCACTGTCAATCGCACGTAGCAGTAGATATAGTTAGCAACTGTAAAAGACTAAGGTCCCGTACTTCCTTTTAGATTTTCACAAATGCTTTGCAAGGCTTCAGGATAAAAACAGATTTTTTTTACAGATACCCCTATTTTTGCATTTCTACCGTTCAGTTTCAGTTCGAAATTCAGCTCTGATTTCGTCTTCGGATATTCGTCGCCATTTGCTTTGCTCATGACAGGGTAAACAACTCATCAAGTTTTCCTTTCACTCTACCAATTTCCCCTTGAATTTGTTTTCTTTGGTTTTAAGATTTCGGGAGTAATATCAATGTCTTATTTCACCTTAGAAACTCTAGAAAGACTGATGAATGCAGTGCGAGGTAAACCACTTGTCACAGTTTGATCCCAGTGTCTTGTTTAAACCTAGTCATCATAAACTAGACCCTTAATAGCTAGGCGGGGAATTCAACCATGGATATTGCCTCGGTCCTTATGTTTTTCTGATGTATCAATGTTTGATCAGTGATAAGGATTTTCTGTTATTATATACATACTGAGAAATACTCACCAAAAAGCTATGTCGTAAATTTTCGTACGCAAATTAGTTCTAGCCAATCAGAGGAACGAACGATGGTTTTCACACGTGAAAAATATGATACGTCCAATCAGAATCGAGAACGATGTTTTTTCACGTGTGAGAAAAATGATACGTCCAATCAGAAGCCACAGAGATGTGTGAGTTTCGCGCCAAAATTGCAGCGCCGTTTCGCACACATTCAACGAGAAAGTTTTACTCAAAGAGTTTTTCTTGCTAAAAAAAGTGAAAAACATTTTGGAAATGGAGTGGAATAGTTTCGTTTGTTTCACTGTCGATAAAGAAAACGGTAGAGAGCCTGCGAAACAACAGCGGAAAGGGAAAAACAGACCGAGACGTAAACTTTTGTTGAGCTTTTTGTCGGAGCTACTTTGCCTTTCATTTAAGCTTAAGCTTATATTGTGCATTGAGAACAAACAGTTGCGATTACTTATAGTTCTTGAATTACCTCATATCCTCACCGTCGTTTATGTTTTTAACAAACGTTTTTACTAAATAGCTGATACTTCGTTTTCGTTGTCATTTTCCGGTAAGTGTGTAGCGGCAAATTTTAGCATTTTTGAAAGATTTAAAAGCCGCCAAAATGATGAATGTCTCAGTATGTATATGATAAACACAATACCATGGAAATAATGGAAAGTGCTTTGTACGGTATTTACGCACTCGTTGTTTTTGTATAAGAAATCTTACTCGTTCGCTGCGCTCACTCGTTCGATTTCTGATACGTCAACAACTCGTGCGTAAATACCGTACGCCAGCACTTCCCATGAAGTATTCTCTATTTACTGTTTTTGTTTTGCTTGAACTTTTGTGAGCTTACTTCAAAATGAAGTATTTTTAAGAAAAACTCCTACCTCTTCCTGTATTCTAATAGACCTAACCCTCAAAAGTACCACTTCACGAGTACAGCCACTTGCCCTTGGCCTGTAATATTGCTCCTCGCATGGCAATGTGTACCACCAAACATCAGAAATTTCGGTACTATAAAAGAACCCTCATTATAAAGGTACGCATGACTGTTCGTCGAAGCAAAATGTCTGTCTTTTATCAATTATGAATATAAAAGAAGTACGTGCAATAGCAAAGTCAGTAAAAAAGACAACAGCTGGTATCGATCGCTAGTACGATTTACTAATCCACTGAAACATTTTAAACATGACAGTGACAAATGATTGAAGGTATTTAAAATAATAATAACAAAAATAATAGCAACAGCAACAACTACAATAACAGTAAGCTACGGTTACAATGTACTGAACAATTGAACCCGCAACATATAACTGCATTAAAGTATTTGTGATAATAATATTAATTTCACTTCTAAAAACTCGGATTGTCCGTGTAAGTAGCGTGAGAAAACAGCCGCCATTTGGCGACTCTACCACTAGTTTCCCCGCCAAATGACGTCTGAGAAACGAGCGTAGAAATTTCATACTTATGACGCGTCACTACCCAGATCTGGATAGAGCTGCTGATTGGTCGTGCCGCGTGGGAAATTTGATTCAACCAATCAGAAGCACTATTCAGATCTGGGTAGTGACGAATCATCAGTATGGAATTTCTTCGCTCGTTTCTCAGACGTCATTCGGCGGGGAAACCAGTGGTAGCGTCGCCAAGTGTCCGCTGTTTTCTCAGGCTACCATGTAAGGTAATCAGGATACCGCAGTTTGAGAAATTTCTGCATGTAGAATCGGGAGCCATGGGCTTTGAAATCAGCTCGAGTAATTCGGTTTCCCGCTAACGATTGGAATCCCGAATCCAAGTTCTACTAACAATGAATGCGGAATCTAATACCTGGAATCTGGAACTCAGAGTATAGAATCCAGAATCCAAGACTCTTGGATAATCTTAAATGGAGCGACATCAGAGCAAGCTTCATTAGCTGGTTGAGTAGCAGATAAATGATCAAGTGACCAAACCCTATAAAATGTGGAGAGATTCATGGATGGATCTTAGGAGTCTCTTTGCATTACTAAGTGGCTTCAAAAATGCCTTTTGCTGAGTTTTGAAACTCACAGTTGCAATTAATTGAAAGACAAAACTGTGTCTCGTTGTGATCAGTGCTTTGTAGTAAGTTTAAACAAAATCTCAATGTAATTTAAAGGCCAAATTTACGTTTTTCTTAACTATTTTGAAGATTAAGTACCATGTACTATTTTTCGTGGCGAGGAGTTAGTGTTGAACACTAGGTTAGGGGAGGAGTAGGTAGGCGCTTTTCCTCTACACAGACACCGTGCTATTACGGACACCTCGAAAATAGAGAGCTTTAGATTCGAGCACGAGGACGACTACGAGTACGAGATTTTCTATACTAAGTAGTGCACGCCAGTGAGCCAGCGTCATTTTGGCGGGAAAACGTGGTAGCCGTCATCATTCTACAACAGGTTTTTGCGAGAACGTCACGTAGTGGCGGGAACAAGTTATCAAATGTAAGAAGCTTTATCATTTTGCTATCGGGAGAGGGCTGAATCTCCTTCACTATAAATAACCGTTCGAACCTTTTTTGGTGAAAAAAAAAAAAAGTAAAATTTACTTTTCCGGTGTGTCTGCCCTTTAGAACACGACACAAAGACTTAAAGTTAAATCTCGTACTCGTTCTCGTCAGTCAAATCTAGAGCTCTCTAATATTGGCTGCAGCTAAATTCCCGGCATAAATAGATTATTTACAGACAAGAAACTTACGTAATTTCGGACTCACGCTTTTTTTATGGCCTGAATGGAGTGGGCTCCACCCAGAAGGGTACCTTTAGTCTCAGATTAAAGAGAATAGGGAATTCACGAGTTGAAGTCTATAAAACGGAGGAAAATCAATCGTCTTTAATTAATAAGAGCCGTTCAATAAAACGTTTCTAACAGACGCGCTTTTCTTTCATTTGTATTTATTAACCGTTACATCAGCTGTACAGTCTTTCTGTTGAAGTGATTTATTCTAATTAAGTGCTAGGCAATTTATTAAAGGGGCATCGTTTCTTAATAAAAGGTATATGAAAATGGGTGCCTTTTCTGTGAAGATGGTACATACTCACTAGTCTGACAATCAATTTACAATTACTCTTACTTTTCTATGAAACTTAGCATAGGATAGCATAGTTATGAACCTCGTTACAATTAACTGGCTTATTGTCTTTTCTAGTAAAAGCCGTAAACATCGACGCATGACTTGCCATGGTTGTCGTCCTCTTCTATATTATTTAAATCTTCGCCGTACCAGATCCTTAACTCCTGTCCAGCAAGAACACCGACTGGGGATGAAAGCCTCAAATCGATCTCAGAGGAATCAGGATGAAACCCAGGCAGATCGTAACATCCTTGTTTGTTCGTCGTAGAAAAATTGGCAAGAGTGACTCTCTTGGTATTGGTGATGTGTGTACAAATTCGACCGATTTGGTCCCTGTAGTTGCATCCCCAATTTGTTCCTTTTTTGGACAAACAAGACACGGAGCCTGAGCGATGAACTAGTTTAAAAGCAGAAATCTTTCCCGCCTTATGAATACTGAAGTTGCCGTAGGAATCGTTCTTGGCTCCAAAGCACACTACCTCTGTGTTAATCTTGAACCACCCTGAAACTGGAACGAAAAAGGACAACGGCGCATAAAACTCCAAGCTGGCGTTTAAATAGTCAGCTTTCGTAATAGCTTGAGATAGTTATTACTGTTTACCAGGGATAAAGAAACGTTCCATGCTGTATCTCAGACCTAGACACAAATCTCTTATAAGCTATACCTCAGACCCTTTTCATATGAAGTACCTAGCCTGAGAAACTTTTAAAGACGTAAGTTGCACTTAGTCTGCAAAACCCTCACTTCAAGATAAGGGACACTTAAAGTTGTTAAAAACAAATCTATTTATACAGTACAGATGAAATTTTTGGATCGCAATAATGAGATAGAGTCACACTCGTAGAGAAAATATTCTGCATTGTACATGCTCAGCATATAAATGTTTCTTTCTTTTTTACTGATTTGTGGGTAAAAATGATAATTAAAACGGAAAGACTAGGAAAACATTTTAAAGCTTTATGAAGTCGTCAGATTCAGGTAATCAACCCCATTGAACCAGCCCTCGTCAGCCGATTGGCCTTATATCTTTCGTTGTTTTGTTAAAGCCTGGTTTTCACTAGCGCATAAGTATAAGCATAAGCACATACGCATGCGCAGAATGGCATAGTTGACTCAATTCTTGATACCACTGAGCTTTCCTCAACTCGGTGATAAACAAGATGGCGGACGCTTCGTCCGCCTTGTTGCCTTTGATATGTTCGCATGAGATCTGGCTCAAAGTGGCCTGTGATTGGTCCATGGCCTTGTGCTTGTGCTCTGTGCTTATGTCGACCCCGTTTTCACTAGTCAAAGCTACGACATAAGCATAAGCATAAGCACAAGAAGAATGAACTTGTCCGTTTTTCTTGTGCTTATGCTTATGCTTATGCGCTATAGTGAATACCAGGCTTGACCAACATGATGGCGTAGAGGTCCGGGGGTCCTTCCTATGGTGTCCTTTACTAGGAGGCTCCGGTCAAAATGAGTACCCTTTTCAGGTTTCAGGTATATAAAAGGGTACGGACTCTCACGAGTTAAAGTATATGAAAAGGTAAAGAAAATCTGTCACAGACCCACCTTATATGTTATCCCGAATTATAGTTCATTTATTTCATTCCAATGTCATTTATTTTATTCTAAAGTTTTGGAAAAGGAACGCAGTCTGTTCGGGACAAATCTAATTTAAACATCGGATATAAAAATCATCCGAAATCTGTTACGTTTTGTCCTTTTTCTATAGGGACCTGAGCGCTGGTCACGTGAACTCTTTTTCCATGTGACTAGCGTGTTGATCGGTGAGAATTCCGAAAGTATGTAAAAGGGTAAGGGGTTTTGGAAATCGGAGCGTAGCCTGCCCATAAACCCGCCTTATGAAAGGTTGTTGAGTAGCCCCCTTGAGTAAAGTTCCTAAAACTATGCATTTCTTGGTGTAGGAGAATGACCTATTTATAGTTAGTAATGCCGTTTTTTTAATGGAAGAGAGATTTCTGAGCCATTCGCATTGCGTTTTTACATTTTGAGGATCTCCTGATTCGACTATGTTCGAGCATAGTTATTAGAGGAGACTGGTTATGAAAAGCAGCAAACATCAATGATTTTTTGTTGTCACGACATCAAATACAACCTTCGTGGGACTTTCACGTGTTAGGAAACAAAAGACAACCGTTTAACAATGCCTTATTTAATTACGTTGCAAAAATAACCAGTTATGTATCAAAATGATAGGAATTCTTTTGAAAGTTGTGCACTTTCAGGTCCACAAAAACATATAACAAAGGAGTCTGACGGGTTTCATAACCATTACACTCAATTAACTATGGTTTGAGCAAGCAAAAGGTCGATCGGATGATGACAAAATATAACGTCCAAGTCATTACCTTCACATACGAAGTCATTTTTATCATACAGTGGGCGACACGTTCTACCATCCTGGCAAGGAGAACTGTCACATGGGCTCTGAGGTGCAAAGAACAACTATATCAATGCAAAAGTAGGTTGTCATAAGCTGCGCATTTATAACGACTTTAATTAACACTCGAAAGAAAAAGTCTGTTAGCTGACGATAATGAGTGTAGGTTTCATATGTGAGTGTCGTTTTATCTGCCAAACTTCTCCTTGTACTTTTCATCAAAAAGATTTATCGAACGGGAAAAATGAGTCGGAACAGAAAGGTCGTGTAGTTAATTCCAGGTGTTTCTGGGCGGTACGAACTATTTTAGTTTTATCTCACTTTCGTGTGTTGGAGATAATTTATTAACCAGGCCCCGGTTGTTCAAACGTTGGAGAGAGTTATCCACCGGATAAATCACTATCCAGCGGATAAGTATTACAGAAACCAATTGCGTTATCCAGTGGATAGCGTTATCCAACTTTTGAACAACTGGGGCCGGTAAAATAGCTTCATTTATCCTACCGCAATAGTGAAGTGGTGAAACTGATCACTCGGCACGAAGGCTCTGGAGTGGTTGTACTTGTCTGTAGATAGCAAATGGCAAACGTGAAGTGTGGATCTGCTGTTCGGCAAAATGGCAAAATTGAATGACAAGCACGCCACGTTAGCAAGGCACTGGAAGGCACAGTCAATGGAGTCGCTGACATTGACGGTGGACAAAACTTGGGAAATTTTTAGCATGTGATTGAGAAATTCCTTGAAGTTCACAAATTGCGGGTCTTCTTCCAGTTCGCCTCTTTGAAGCTGTTCATTGGAAAATGAAAATAGTTAATTTTATTATCAAATGCATTGTATTTATTCACAGCCTCTGCTTTGCCAAACTTAATGTAATGAAGAAGACTTTGTTAATAATATTCTCGAAATTTTTGCGAAATTGTGGAATATTTAATGATCACAAAATTCCGTATAAATACCTTTAGAAGTGGCAATTAAATTAATAAATGAAGTTTGTTTAAGTTAATTTTGTGTAGAAGATTTTAATTATAAAATCATCTCTAATAATGGTTACTGGGGCACCTGTTCCTGCTATTGTTCAAACACAAGAGAAAATGAGTCAAACACTTCCTATTTTCTTAGCTAAACTGCGAAACTGCGAAACTGCTGCACATGCTTTTTCCAATTCAAAAGAGCCTGACAGCGGCTGCGCCGTTGAAAGTTGTTCTATTCTTTTTTTTATTATTATTATTTTTTATTATTATTTTTTTATAATACATACTCTGTATATATAGTCCAATAAAAAATGTAAATGATTGGAAAAAATATGTATCTATAACGGCTTCGAAAGCAACCTCGTGCTAGGCGATTCTAGTTCGCTTTCCAGATCCCTGATTTGATCAGGGCTTACAAATGCCTAAGTGATGGGACAACATACAGGCCATCGATTGAAGAAGAGTGTTTATGTTTAGGACTTAAACCAACAAAATATAGTTCTCGAGTCCTTCTCAGAGTAATGCGTTTTGAAAATTCACAATCAAACAATTTCAACGCTGAGTTCAGAAGAACTCCCTTGCTTGAGACTGCTTCAAAGATTCCTGTTGAATTTTCGTGGCACATCCTGATTATATCAATAAAACCTGACACCAGAAATTTTAGGTAAAACGTAACAGCAAAATTTTCCACTGGACACGATTTGCTTGAAAAAGTGGGGTCTGCTAAAAACATATAATTATACATTTTATATCATTGTTGAAATCTACTAGACCGAGGATTGTCGTAGATCGCTGCTACAATGGAACCACCTCAAAGTACCTTTTTGGGTTTGTTTTGTTTTTTGTCCATCTCTAAAACACTAAGTCAGCGTTAAGGCATAAAACGTTTGGCCTAGTAAAGGCATATATTTCTTTCATCGAAATCAAACAGGAAGAATAATAAACCAAATTCTGAAAAAATGCAGGGCTTTTTTTCATTGAAACGTTTAGTGGCTCTTTATGGTCTGGAATTCATCCGGCTTCTTTTAGTTGCACATACAAAGCACTTGTATTGACTATTTATCTTTTCAGTTTTCACGAATGATAGCTCACCTGTGCATTGTATTTTGCGATGTGGATAAATGTAATAAAAGTAAGAACGATCCAAGCGATTGCTACCTTCAGCGACATTTCCTTGGAAGTATTCAAACGATTGCACCAGTTTTTCAGAATTGGAATCAGACACATTTAAGGCATGAAAGAACTTGATATAGCACCAAAAGTCCCTGAAATTGGATCTAGGGTCTAGCTTAAATTTAATAAATTTTAGTTTAGAGTTACATTAAACCGTCAGGAACTACAAACAAGAGCTCCATGCTGTATTGAATTATTGCCAAGAAAAAATTAAAGCAATTCTGTTAGTAGGAAATCGTCAAGGTAGCAAAAAAATCGCAAATTTTGTAAACAACCTGCTGGACGCTGTTTTCGACAAGAAGAATTGTAAAAACGATATTTGCTTGCAAAAGAAAAAAAAGTATACAGTAGTTCGTCCACTTATTACAAATTTCCAGAATCCTCGAACAGATTGGAGGCATGATATCTTTTGAAATTTGAAGTGGACATGATGCACACAACTCAATGTTCTACTTGTATAATGGAAGTCGTGTTCTTGATCTCCTTGAAAACAAAACTATTTTAATTTATCAATCTGTCTCCTCCCAAATTCCCTCCTCTTTGTGTCATAGTGGTTTGATAACGCTGTCGCAAACAAACCAATTCAATGAAAGTTGTATTGTCATTAATATTGGATACCCTGAATTTAATCAACCAACTATTTGGGACAGATTCATTTTGCCCGTTGGAATAATATGAATTATTTTATTATCTTTAAGATCTAACGCAATTAAAAATTCCAGCGGGCAAATGCGACGACTTAACGCATTTGCTGTAAATGAGAAAATGACTCCAGCCTTAAATTGCTAACAGCTGTTTTTCTCCATCACTAATTTTGCGTATAGTTTTGGGGGGAGGGGAGGTTGGGGAGGAACATTTATTAAAGCATAATAATAATAAAAAATTGAAGCCCATTAGTTAAAATCGTAATTTTCACAGCTTACTAGCAAAAATTTGTAAAATGATTAACTTGTAAATTTAGCTACAGTAAAACGTGCTAGCCTGAGCGTAAGTGAATCTAGTGATATACAGAACCTTCATTTTTTCCACTTATTCAATTTATATTAAACAAAAAAGTTCAAACACGAGCTGACATATTGAATTTGGGTCAAAAAGGCGTTAAAATGATAATTAAAAAAAAAAAATGCTCGAAGAAACAGCGTTCAGTACGATATCTAGGCATCGAAAAATTAATAAAAAAAAGGGGGAAGCGCAATCGGGGATCTTTTTTTACCAATTTTGAATACTTGATAGAATTGTTTGTTTGAAAATTCTTGGGTGATCAAAAATTCTAGAAGACGCAAATTAGTAACTGATATTCAAACTTCCTTCACGGCTCCTGACGTCCTTTGTTTTCTTTCCATGAATTATCGCTAAGTTCGAGGAACCACCTTCATGAATACAACTTAACTATTCAGACAAGCTGACAGGTGAAAGTTACCCAAGTAGCTATGCAGGCCTTTCAACAATGTCCTATTAGCAGAAATTTTGATTAATTATTAAAATTATCTAAAAGAAACACAACTTTAAAGCTTCGTGCTACTCTTGGTTTCATCTCCGACGTAACAGTTTTTATTGTGTTATTATAATATACATTTTTTTTCTTCATAATGAGGCGTTCCGAGCCCTTGTGTTTTCATATTTGCCCTTAGAAAGATCAGCTTTTCTCGGAAAGATCATCAAACTCATAGTTTAGTAGGTCTTTGCCGGGCAGCCTCAAGATCTAAACTAAATTGCTATCGAGAGCAAGGGCTCTGGGATTAGCGTTGAATAGTAGCGAAAAATGTCAAATGTGGGAATTCCATAATATTCCAGCGAATTATGTTCATCGATCATTGCATATGCTCGCTACCGTTACCCAGATCTTACCTGTACCAGATTCCTTCAAGTTATTAAAGATGATTTATGGGTATAAATTCGATTCTTTTTTTATATTTATTCTTCGTTTTCAAAAGACCATAATGTACCTTCTTTCTTTTCGGTCCTCACCCTAAAACAAGAGCGTTCGGTACAATATTCGATATTTCGGCATCGAGATGTTCATCAAACTTGGGGGAAGACTTCAATTTATACGAAATTATTAATGATAAAGGAAATGGTAAGATACGCCAATTTAATGCCATGCTTTAATATTTTTCCTCGAAGTTATTACAGATGATTTATGGGTAGCCCATAGCCCATGTAAATAGACACAGTGCAAAACAATTATAACAATCTGAAACTCAAAACCTGACAACTTGAAGAGCGAGTTGGACTTAAGGTGACAAGAGCTCTTTATCTCCTCGCAAGATTTACATGATTAAAAGTGCAATATAACTGGAGTAACGTCTGTGTACTCACGAACAGGCTCGGAATTCGAACATACCGTAAGGAAAAATTGCTCGTGTTGATGAAAACATTCTCATTAAGTTTTCCGTTAACAACAACAACAACAACTTTATTTTCTACTGTGCACAGATAACTAAAAGAATATACAAGAAATATAGTTAAATAACAATAATACTTCTCGTTAAAACTCGTTGGGTGACAATCATTAATTATAATAGGGACCTTAAGCAAGGACGATGACGACGGCAGTGACAGCAGTGACGGCAGTGACGGCAGCCAAGATATCGTTGGGGCATCTGAACAGATAAGTCTTCAATTTATACTACTACATGAGAAATTTCTGCAATTTGATTGGCTCAGGGCAGTGGTATTTCAGCTTAATTTGAAATACCTACATGTGAAAATTACAGCCCTTTTCGCTCATCATCATATTTGTTTATTATCGTAGATTTGTCCGTGATATTTGGCATAAATACCACTCGTGACATTTCAAAATTGTCTTAAATTTCACTCGTCTAACGGCTCGTGAAATTATGTATAACAATTTTCAAATATCACTCGTGGTATTTATGCCAAATATCACTACAGATCATGCTATTACCTATACTAATACGTTTTTCTGAATTCAGCTATGGAATTGTTTTTAAAAACGTATCGCTCAGAGTCAAACGAACCCAAAAAACGCACTTTCGGAAAGCGTTACCGCAATCATCTGCTGCTGAATTCGTCTTAAAATCAACTGATGCGACATTCCCATTCGTTGCATAAACTATAAAACACTCAAAACCTTGCTCTAAATTAAATCGAATGTTTTTGTTCTCGATATTTCTGAATCCGCACAATATTTCTATACCTGAATCGGCCTTACTTCCATCCACATAAAACCAGTGAAGCCGCTCAGCTCCAGAGTGTGACTGTGTTTGGTTGTTGTTGCTTTATTTTATTTATTCATACATTTTTTGTTGAAACCGAGTATTTTACACACGAATCTGCTGAAGCTGTGTACGAATATTTAGTTCCACAATTCGTGCGGTGGTTGTCTCAGGTTTGGAATCACCCAAAAAGAGAAGCTAAAGAGAATTATAAATTAGAAAATGTCGGTTTTCAATTTTGCTGGCGCTTATTTCCCAACTTTAATTGCACACATGGAAATCAATTTTTGATAACCCAATTTGTCAGTTTAGAAATATCCAGATTGTGGAATTGTTACACATTTTATTGGTTGGAAAAAAATGTGTGCATCTATAACGGCTTCTAGGCCAACCTCGTGTTACACGACTCTAGATCTCTAGATTCTAGGTTTGACCAGGGCTTACAAGTGCCTCAGTGGTGGGACAACATATAAAATGCCATCGAAGAAGAGTGTGTATTCTTTTTACTCGTCCCAAATTATCAGAAGGACTCTCTCGTTCGAGACTGCTTCAATGATTTCTGTTGAAATTTCGTGGCACACCCCAATTATATCAATAAAACTTGGTTGATACGAGACATTTCAGGCAAAGCATAACAGTAAAGTTTTTCACTAGACACGATTTTCTTGAAAAGCGGGCTCTGCTAAATATAACTATGCAAAAAGACATAATTATATATTATTGTTTAAATCGAATTCCTTTATATAATTGCTGTCTATCAGCAGGTATCTCAGAGTTTCGCAGCCTTTAAACCAAAACAGCTTTGAGACCGAAGATTGTCGTAGATCGCTGCTTCTGTAATAACAATGGAACCACCTCAAAGAACCTTTTTTTGTTTTGTTTTGTTTTGTTTTTTTTTTTCATCTCTTTTTAGCCAAAGAAATAAGTTTGTATTAAGGCATAAAATGTTTGCCTAGAGACAGACATAGATTTTTTTCATGCATCAAACAGGAAGAATGATAAACTAAACTCTGAAAAATTGCAGGGCTGTTTTTTCATTGAAACGTTTAGTGGCCCTTTATAATCTGGAATTCATCCGACATCTGTTAGTTGTAGCAAACTCGAACTTAACCTGCGTTCAATATGAACTATTAGTGGCTTTTAATATATAAAAACACTTCTATTGACTACTTATCTTTTCAGTTTTGACGAATGATAATAGCTCACCTGTGCATTATATTTTGAGATGTGGATAAATGCAATAAAAGTAACAACAATCCAAGCGATTGCTACCTTCAGCGACATTTCCTTGGAAGTATTCAAACGTTGGCACCAGTTTTTCAGAATTGGAATCAAGCACATTTAAGGCGTGAAAGAAATTAATATAAAGCCAAAAGTCCCTGAAATTTGATCCAGGGTGTGGCTTAATTATATTTAATAAATTTTAGTTTAGAGTTACATTAAACAGGAACTTTAAACAACAGTTCCACGATGCATTGAATTATTGCTAAAAAAAAAAAAAGCAATTCTATTAGCAAGAAATGGTCGAGGCAACCTGCTAGTCGCTGTTTCCGACAAGAAGAATTGTAAAAACGTTGTTTGCTTGCAAATGAAAGAAAATTAAAATAACAGTCAGTAATTCGTTCAGAATGTAATCTAGTATATATTCTTTTGAAATTTGAAGTCGACATGATGCATGCAACTAAATGTTCTTCTCATGAGTCGTTGTATAATGAATGTCGTGTCCTTGAACTCTTTGAAAACAATTTACCTTAATTTTTAACCAACGCGCCTTTACCCAAATTCCCGCCTCTTCGTGTTTTAATTACGCTGTTGCAGAAAAAACCATATTGAATGAAAGTTGCTTTGTCATTAATATTGGTTACCCTGAATTTAATCAACCAACTATTTGGGACAGATTTATTTTAGCCGTTGGAATCATATGCATCTAACACAATTTAAAATTCCAGCGGGCAAATGATGCGACTTAACGCATATGTGCTGTAAATGAGAAATGATTCCAGCCTTAAATTGCTAACAGCTGTTTTTCTACATCACTAATTTTGCGTATAAATTTGGAGGGGGGGAGGGGAGGTTGGAGAGGAGCATTTATTAAAGCATAATAATAATAAAACAAAAATGAAACCCATCCGTTTAAAATCGTACTTTTCACAGCTTACTAGCAAAAATTTGTAAAATAAGTAATTGTAAAATACGCTACAGTAAAATGTGTTACCTTGAGCGTAAGTAAATCTAGTGATATACAGAACCTTCATTTTTTCCATTTAGTTGCAATTTATATTAAACAAAACGAGCTGACATATTGAATTTGTGTCAAAAAGGAGTTAAATTGGTAAATTAAAAAAAAAAATCACAGGAAGAAACATCGTTCAGTACGATATCTAGGCATCGAGAAATTAATTTAAAAAGGGGAAGCGCAATCGGGGATATATATATCTATCTATCTATCTATCTATCTATCTAGCCGGATTTATGAAAACCGTACCATCGGACACCAGGAGCCCACACACCTTAAACTGACTCAACTAAAGTAAATATGGCCAAGAAACTCAGCTCTTACCCATGGTTCTCTTAAGTTGACTCTCTTCTTGGTTCCTGATTAGCACAAGAAACATTCAAGTCCGTCGAAAAGACACTCTGGCTGCTTAAAGGCCCTGAATGACGGAGGACGCTTGAGACTTAAGCAAGTTCTAAGCAGAGAAATTCAAGGTTAAATCACCCACCCTGACTTCCTCCACCCCCCCCCCCCCCCCCCCCCCCCCCCCCCCCCCCCCCCCCCAGCAGCCTAGCACGTGCTTGAGAGGAATGCTTTCATTGGCCAATGGGCCTCAAACGTTACAAGAATTTGACATGACAAACTAAAGGCAGACATGACCAGTGCACTGACTCTCCCAGACCAGGACTAACGGAAGGTACAACGCTTTTGCAGCACCCTCCCCCCTTAGGGATTGACATGGAGGCCCCTTTCCAGCCCATGGCGAGTTAGCTCAGGGACTGAACTTGTCAATGAGACCAACCAGGACAGCAAGCCCCCTATGTTTTTTCTCACCGCAGTGACCAGAAAGCTGGCGATGGTCCATTTTGAGGTATGTTTTCAAAAATTCGGCTGGATATATATTTTTACCAATTTTGAATACTTGATAGAATTTTTTGTTTGAAAATTCTTGGGTGATCAAAAATTCTAGAAGACGCAAAGTAGTAACTGAAATTCAAACTTTCTTCACGGCTCGTGACGTCCTTTGTTTTCTTTCCATGAATTATTGCTAAGTTCGAGGAACCACCTTCATGAATACAACTTAACTATTCAGGCAAGCTGATAGGTGAAAGTTGCCCGACTAGTAGCTATGCAGGCCTTTCACCAATGTCGTATTAGCAAGATTTCGATCAGTTATTAGAATTATCTAAAGGAAACATAATTTAAAGCTTCGTGGTACTCGTGCTATCATCTCCGACGTAACAGTTTCTATTTTATTATCATTATTATTACTATTATTATTATTATTATTATTATTATTATTATTGGGAAAAAATTTTCTTAGTTAAATTAACTTTTTTTATGATAAATTAAGTGCTTTTTAAATCGACAGGAATTGTAAATAGTGTTTTTGAATGAATAGTTTTTTCTTTTATTTTAAGCGAATTAATTGTAAATAGGATTTTAATGGTTAGCATTGTTGTCAATAAAATTTTTTTATTATTATTATTTTTATTATTATTATTGTTATTATTATTATTATAATTTTTAGTTTATAAGGAGGCGTTGAAGCCCTTATCTTTTCATGTTTGCTCTTAGAAAGATCAGCTTTTCTCGAAAAGATCATCAAACTCCTAGTTTAGTGGGTCTATGCCGTGCAGCCTCAAGATCTAAAACTAAATTCTTATCGAGAGCAAGGGCTCTGGGATTTGCGATGAATAGTAGCGAAAAATGTCAAATGTGAAAATTCCATAATATTCCAGCGAATTATGTTCATCGAGCATTGCTATGCTCGCTACCGTTACCCAGATCTTACCTGTACCAGATTCCTTCGAGTTATTAGAGATAATTTAGGGGTATAAATTCGATTTTTTTTATATATATATTTATTCTCCGTTTTCAAAAGACCATAATGTACCTTCTTTCTTTTAGGTGGAACCGACCGTAAAAAAATGAATTTGCAATCTTTCAAATTTAATCGCGTCTATTTGGAGTCGCTCAATATGTAAAATGCAGGGGACTTTTACTGGAGTTGAATTCCTAAAAATTTTATTCAGGCTCAAAAAGATTAAAGGAAATTCGTCGTAGTATGTCCACGTCCTGCGCAAAGCGCTAAATTAGGAGGTTTCAGGTCGTAGTCGTGCAGTGAACGTCAAATAAATGTACTAAAAAGCGTGATGCACGTGCAGAGCTGTTGTTTTGATCATTTTAAGTTTGCCTTCTCCAAATATAAATACAGACTCTGGAATTCACACTCACCTCTGATCCATTACTCAATTAAAAATTGTAGAGTAAAAAAGCAGCGCTGCAAACAAACTATTGTGAATTCACTACGTCAAGAGCCAAGTGAAAATAGATCGCGTCCAGAAAAAGTTGCGATGCATTGATCTGGACCGCAAACGGAAGTGTAACATCCAATAAAAAGGTGATAGGATCTTGAGCCGTGTAACTAGCATAATTCCCTTCATTGTTTATTGTACTCTTTGTCTTTTCGATGAGCAACGGGCATTTAGTACAATTCGAAAATGTTACCCTTGGCGGATTACTTCTTTTGGGAGCTGGTTTTTGAGTTTCTAGGGCCACAAGATCTGATAGCCGTCTTTGGATTGTGCTATTCTTGGTGGAGATTTGTGTTTTCTGGAAATCGCTCGAGACGGCAAGCTCTACTAAGTTGTGATGTTCAGGATATGAGCAACTCTGGCAATTTATACCAGAAAGTCCCAATTTGGCTTGTTAGAGGAATTCAAAAGCTCAGTCTTGCAGGCACAACAATAAGTTCGAAGAATTTTTTAAGACTAGCGACGGAAGCACAGAAGCTAAGAACATTAGACATCGAAAACTGCAGGAATATTTCGGAGGAGGCCATCTTCAATGCGAAATATAAACTGCAAAGTTTGCGAAGTGTGAACATCTCCTACAACAGTCAATTTGGTGTCCTGAACATAGCGTGTCTATTGTCCTACGAGTCCGTTATAGACATTTGTTGCCGGGGGAAGAAACTCAGTGACAAAGAACTGTTATTTCTTTCAAAGACGTTTCCTAGTTTGCCAGGAATTGGCTTACGATTAGATGGAATCAGCAAAGCCTATTTTTGGGATTTCTCCGATAGCGACGAAGATCCGATGATAACGCTATCCCGAGGATAGCGCTGAAGACCAATGAATGAAGTGAACGCAAAGTTCAACAGGGTCTGTAATGCCCGCAAAGTAACTTTAATTTATTGTATTTGTTTTCATTCACGTTACTGTTACACGTTACTGTTCTGTTCAATGTTCTTTTTGGCGGTAAACTGAAAACCGATCTGAAATATTTTCCGCCAACATAATAGACCTGAGTGAATAATTGACTAATGTGTCAAGATTACGACGAAAACAAGGCAAATCATCACGTTCGGTAAAGTGTTTCGTACGAAAACCAAAGTTCCTCACATACAATTTTTTTTACACTTGACATGTTCAAAGCTTTTGTTGTGTTATAGACAATGTGTGGATTTCAGCCGTGCAATTAAACATTTAAGGATTGAAATTTTCTTGAAACCATTTGAATTTCGCGCTAATATCGATTTATCCAATGGGATAAACAAATCTAATTTAATTAACACGCTCACTCTTGCCGGACATTAACGGTTCCTGTTGCCGCAGCCCCATTGTTCTCGCTATCGCTTGTAGCCGGAGCGTTACTTAAACAAAATCAGTTGAAGGTTTCCTGGTTGTTCAAATAAGGACCTTACGATCTGTAAAACGGAGACGTCCATGAAAACGTCGTTGAAAAATAGGCTTTGCATATCCTTTCAAACGTTTTTGCGATTAGCCCAAGTCGCCCAATTACTTAAAAGAAGGGACTAATTTATGTTGGAGCGGAAGAGAGGGAATTACACCAGAGTTAAGTGAGAGATGATAGAATGTATCGGCTTGCTGTTTCGGTTCTGAAGTAAACTTAAAATTTAGCAATTTCACGTCCTAGTTAGTCAGGGACGGCAAAGAAATTTGCAAAAGAAAGCGTGATACACGTGCAGAGTTAATTGCTGTTTTACTCATTACACCTATTGTTGTTTTGACGCACGTCTGCGTTGCCGTTGCCGTTGCCGTCGTAGTTTCGTAAGGTCCCTATTATGAAGGCCGCGCGCAACCTCTTTCCCAGGGCTTTTCTGAAAAAAAAAAAGAAAAACCCTGGAGAAGGTACTGGGCCACTAGCAGTTAACGCCTTGAACTTTGAATCCGAAAGTCCAGGTTCATGCTTTGCAGTTGTTCTATTTCCTTAGACGGGATGCTTTGCACCACTTTGTCTCACTTCACCAAGGCCGGTGTATAAATGGGTATTGGCGACAAACTGCTGAGGACAACCTTGCGATGGACTAGCATCTCATCCAGGGATGGGGGAGGTTGGCTGGGAGGAAGAAGTCATTTCATTTTACGGAAAGCGGGATCGTCGTAGACATTCAAAGTGGCGACATACTCGTAGGCAGATTTATGTTCTCAAAATGGGTTTCGTTTTATGAAACATACATTATTCAATCTTATAGTAAATGTGTGGGATCACTATGACATGTCTATAGATTTTGATTAAATCTTCATCTCTAAAGGATGCAGAAAGTGTCATAAGTACACATACGCTTAGAAGTTACGTTTTATGGATTGCCAGTTTAACCCTTCAAAGTATCACTAGAAAATCCAGCTGCAGTTGTCTAGAAAACGCGAGAGGAAAAAGTCACTCCTCTTTCTCTCCCTTAAGTGACTAGAACCCCCACTCATTTAGCGGATTTAGCAGTCCACACTTGCCTATAGTTCACAGACTTCTACCTGCTATGCGATGGATGGGTAATACAAACGTCAATATATGCTTACATGTAGGACTCAGTATGTAATAAATGCCTTATTTCATGAAATGTAAGGCCTGTTAATACACATTATAGAATAATACTGGTAATAAAATGTTACCTGTTGGTTTTTTGTTCAATCTAATAACAAGTAGAAGAAAAGTTGGTAAAAATGAAGCACGCTGTGACAAGTTTTTTTAAAAAATGTTTTTGTCTCCATTTATGTTGACAGACAAAATGAAAGATGCTACAAAAGCAAGAGAAGAGGTCCTAAAAGGAGACCAATCAAATGAAGAAAACCTAGATGAACCTGAACTAACTCCTAGGATAAGGAAGAAACAAACTGCTTCAGCGAGTGAGTGACAGTTTTAATTTATCCAGGTCATATCATACCCCTAAGATAAGGCCTTTTTTCTTTCGATTAGATTTAGCAGATGAGAATTCTTACGATGTTAATGGTGCAGAGGGTGTAGACGAGATACATGAAGATGAGGATGAATTGACCAATAGCTGTACCAAGAAGGGTGAGATTGTGTACTGCCTATTCGCTCAAATTGAACAAAGAAAAAATCTTTTTTATCTACATTGTCGGCCTGACTTCTCTCATTCTCACTACATTATAGGGATAATAATTTTATTGTGGGCATTGATTGTTGGGAACATTCTTTAGCAAAGGAAAGAAACAAAATTATTTTAGATGAATGTATTTCTTAGATCTACTGTTTTGATATTTTCTTCTTGCTGAAATGATTTGTTTGTTTCAGATCAAAAGAAGTTGGATGCGGAAAAATTAAAAAGGAAGGCAAAAGGTATTTCTAACATTGTCGACTGTGATATGTTGTACAGTCAAGCCCGGTTAAATTATGGACTTTGAGGGAGCAATAACCGTATTAAGTGTCTTATCAAGTAAATATTATGATGTCTTCAAAAATTAATATATATGGGCAAGAAAGGGAAGGTGCCATGAGAACAGGGCATCCATTGACTTATAGATGTTTAGAAGGTTTCCTTGCTGATTTACCATGTACAGGCAATGCTACTAATGAAGGCCTTTTTTGAAACTAGCTAGTCTGCATTTAAAATAAAAATAATACATGATCATGACCAAGAAGTACATTTCAGTAAAAACTAAAAGAGCTGTCAACTGTATTATGAATCCTCATGTACTTGTATGTCAACCAATATTGTTTTTTATTACTCACAGCTGTTAAAAAATCCTTGCCACCGAAGAAAAAACATAAAGGTAAAAGTCATTTTCTTTTATGATAAAAGCATAGAAGATTTGCTAGGTATTTATGTAATGGAACACTCATATATTAAGCACAAAGGAAAAGCAACCACAGCCATAAATGATTAAACAGTGCAGGATTAAAACACTTTTAGCATTCTGATGGGCATTTATTCAAGGGAGGTGTTATAACTTTTGAGGAATGCATCTATTTCAAAATTGCATGTCTTAAATCACAGCAATTACCACAAATCACTTGAAGATATTATGTAAAACAAAAAGATGTTTAAGTAAAGTTTCAATTTCCAGTGCTTTTTTTGCTGAGATTGGATTATTAATTGTCTGAATGGTGTTCCAATTTGGTAGATTGTAAAAAACCTTGTTCTTACAAATGTACTCTAAAAAAATTCATTCTTGTAACCATGTAATTGTTATTAATTACTCTGCAGTTGAAGGCAATAAAGACAAATCTGGACAGAAAAAGGAAGTGTTGAAAGCCATTTAAAAAAATGTAAGTTTGCTTAACATACTTTTTATTTTAGCCAATGATCACTGAAAGTACACTGTGCATTGGTGTGTATAAAAATGAAGCCAGCATTAGGGTACTGAACCTAGCATAATGATCCAATGCATCCTCACTCTTTTTTTAGCTATCTGTTATCCATATGCACATGACAGTTGAAAAGCTACATGTAGGGGTGTGAAATATCAGTGTTTGACTACCCTAAATTTCATTATAGTGTAAGTCACTTTGGGCATTATACTATAATATATTATATATCTATATTATATAAATATATCTGCATGATTTTGCTAAAAGGTGCCTGCTAAGTTTTAGCTTGAACACGGGCATAGCGCATGTTCAAGCTAGTGTGGCTGGAGAAAAACCAGGGGGCTTGCCGTCTTGCTAGGTGTCAGCTGAGAGCACAGGCCTAGACCCATCCGTGGGTGGGAAATTTTGTCATTTTGATTAGAGTTTTATGTCAGAAAGCAGTGCAAAGTCAGAGAATTTTTCCCATGGCCTAGGCCAGCCAAATCAATGCGGTGACTCATAATCATCTGTAACACTGCTAGCAGAGCTTTGGGGGAAGTGATTGACTAGTCATAAGCCTCATGGGTGGGGAGGGTGAGTAATGGCTCCTTGGACTTGACCGTCTAGAGACTCAGTACAGGCACCTTGTATGAAATCCAGACAGATATATACAGTTATTATATTTTTGGGAAGCTAATCAAAACAAATAAGAAGGCTTTACATCTTGCTATTGGTTAATCACTTGGCCTTAGTTGTTAAAAACGTGGATATCTCCATATATATTAGTAAAATCCAACTAGTGGTCAATTATCAATGCTGCATTCTGATTGGTTGAGCTACTACTAGGCTATATGTTATAGCCCACTAGTAGCGAAAAACGCCAGCTTTGAAAACCAAAATAATGGTGGCTGAATCACGTTTTGCTAGCTAAAGTTGTTTTGTCTCAATATTTTTGACCAACTAGTTGGATTTTACTAAAACAATTATTCCTCTCTCCCTCATGGCCTCTGAGTCTGGCCTCATGGGCTATTGACTCAGAGCCCATTCGGGCTCGCGGAATAATTGTTAATTGACATTTGCATAACGGGACAGGTTGATAGACATTAGTGTGTGGGGCTACAGTTTTACATCGTGTATTCAGGGTTCATCACAAATGTTAAATACAACATTTATCGTCTATTAATAATAATTATGCTCTGTATTTTGATTATATTGTTGTTCCATAGCCAAGAAAGCAGTATCTGAGGAAACTCAGCGGATCAGTGCTGAGTTGGTTGCTGAGATAACAGCACCAATAAACCTGCATGGCAATGCCCATGAATCTGACAGCATCGAATCTAGCACTATTGAAGAGTCAGATGATGAAACATGGGGTTGTGTGGTGGAACAAGAGAGGCCACAAGTGGGGATGAAGACCCCAAAGTCTTCTTTCCCCCCCAGAAAATGCATCAATGTGCATTGTAATGAAGAAAAAAACAAATGAAAAAGGAGATCACCCTATTAAAGCAGGAAATTGAAGATTGTAAGTATCCTCTGTCAACTTTAATAAAAAAAAAATTATATTTTTGGT